TTATCAAGAAAGATATTCATTTTTAAAAGTCAGTTTTTTGAAGTTCGTTTTGACAAAACCTACCTATGATTTGTTCTTTGTCTTGATCGATTAATTCATATGTCGGAGGTGATGTGGTGTTTACTTTATCAACGATGAATATTTCGTTTGTCCAAAATCCAACGTATCCTTTTTCAAATTTACTTTTATATTTGAAAATACGAACTCGATCTCCAACTTTAAATTTGGGTTTAATATTTAAATTCTTTATTTCAATTTTTAAAATTATTAAGGGCAGAAGAAAACTTTATAATATCTGGGTTTTGACTAGTTTTGAGACTTTAGTTCTGTGAATTTTTTGAACAGTTTTGATTTAAGCGTCCTGTTAAATCCTGTTCTACTACTACAGCTTTTCCCTCGTTATGAGTACTGTAAATTTCAAACCCAAGTGATTTCATATTTGTATTACAAAATTCGCTTCCTTTATCTACCCACAGTTTTTCTGGATGTCGGCCAGATTGTTTCAAAAGCATATTTGACTGATAATCCTGTTTTGTTTTTCAGAGGAATAAACCAAGCATATCTTGGATATAGATCTATAACTGTTAAGCAATATTTATATCCTCTTTCGACAGGCATATCAATTAAATATTTCATCTTTTTCAAATACTTTAAAAAGTTTTTATTTTTTCTAAATTCATAAAATATCCCAATCCCATACCCAATTTCATTTTTGCTTTTAACAGTTTTATGATCAGAGCCCTTTGCATTCTCTCTTTGAAAGTTTAAAGAGTTTGATATTTTTTAGTTCGATCATCTTTTGTCTGTCTGTTTCGTGTCTGAACTTTATGTCTTTGTTTCTGTATAGTATGTCGTGTTTAAGCTCTATTGACTGGTTCTTCACCCGGTTTGGGTTTATCGTTTTCTTCTAATCGCAGATCTAACCTAGTACCTGGACCAGTGTAATTATGACTGGGAAGATGTTTTTTTCCAGGGTAATTTGCCCATTGAAAGCCAGGAAGAGAACCCAATGATTTTTGTATACCTCCTGAACCAAAATAAGTTTTTGGAGCATGAGAGACTATCATTTTCATCCTATAACTTTAAAACCTTTTCCTTTCCTTTCTTCTCCTTTCAATATGTTCGCACTTTCCCCATGGAATGAAATGGAATGGGGAATCCCCTTGCGAACATATTGAAAGGTCTAATACTACTCAGGGGTAATCTTGCCATAATTCAACAAATTTATCCTCAAGGATTGCTTCTGTCACTACTTCACTGGGCGTCGCCATCTTTGAATACCAATAACACATGTGCGTTGTGTTCGTCGTCTGAGAAAGTCACACACAGTGTGCCATCGGCCACGAGTGGTCAAAATGATCAAACACATAGATTTTTTCCACACAACCACGAGTGGCCAAATGCACACTAAAAATTGTTCGCAAACGAAGCGCTACTAGTCTAGCATAATTGGCGGTGCACCATTTTCTCTTCGTGTGCGGGCACCTTTAGGCTAGGCCTAGACAAGTTAACTTTTTAGGCACGGTGATTAGGCCAAGAGCACACCTTTGGCTTCAATTAATCACATGTATTCATTTTGATGTTTTTTCATGTTTTATCAGGTGAATAAAAGCTGACGCGCCAAAATGAATAGGCCTATAATGTATGTACCTAATAATTAATAAAAAAAAAATGTGCCAAATCTCTGTGTCTAAACTAATATAATATGAGTAATTGAAGATGTGTCTAGTTAACGTCTTTCTAAATGACCAAAAAGGAAAAGTATGCCTGATGTACTTTGTCTATTTATCTACCGAGTACAAGCCCGGGCCCTATCTGATAAGTTCCGAAATTGACACTGAATCAGTGTAGGCCTAGGCTATGGCAATTGGTTTACACGGCCACAGGGCTTACGTTTTATTTTTATATATTCCTTAGTTTAAGTGGAAAAGGTCCCATATTGATGGTCTTCGGCATGCTCTTCAAAATTAGTTGTTAAAGGTTTCACTAGACCTACATGATGAACTGACATGCACAAGCCTGACACAAGTACAACAGTGGACTAGGCCTAGCTAGAGATCTTTAATCCATCAGAGAAAATTTTATAAGCTGGCTA